TCTTTCCCTCCTCCCCCTTCAAAAAAAAAAATCATGATGTGCTCATAGCCAAACTCCTAAATTTTAGATACTGGGAACAATATAAAAAAATAAAATCCTTCCTCCCATCACCCCACCGCCCGGCCCCTCTCTTCTCCATTGTTAAAGCAGCATATCCAAAAACTGGACTTAAGGGAAAACAGACTGTTCAATAAATATCAATAAGGATTACTGTTAAGGTAAGCTATACACAGTTTCTCTTAGTCCATAGATTTCAGATCCCCAGGAAATCATATATTATGTATGGAAGTCTCTCAAACACGGTCTGCATCTCCAATAGCCAACAGTGGTCATGTTTTTAATAAATAGTTCAGGGTTTTTATCATCTCAGTACCCAACTCATGAATAATAAATGCCATTTTTTTTTCCCCTCTAAGGCTATTTCAGCAAAGTCTTCATAGACTTCACTTTTTTTCTTCATTGGTTCAAAACTTTTTTCCTTCAGAGTTTTTTTTTCTCCTTGTCATCACTACTGTTGTGTGTCCAAAGACTTTTCTAGCTTAACTTTTCTTAAGAAACACAGATGCCATCAATCGATCCTTTCTACTTTCCCAAGAATCCTTCCTTCGTACATCGGCAGGATGGTTTCGTCTTCCCAAATCTCTTCAAACACCGCGCCGCAGTCAAACTCGTCGCTTGCTTTTTTGAAGTAGTATCTGTGGTAAGGAGAATTAAAACACAGTTAAAAAAAATCAAAAGGTAAAGCAGAGGATGCTTTGGCAGTTCTTTTAACCACAACATTTCCAATCTCTCCCTCCTAGGGATGCTCCTCCAGCGCCCAGGAAAACCTCGGGGCTGCTCAGGTCCAGCAACATGAAAGCATCCCCAGGGCTGCAGGGATGGTGATGGGACAGAGGGAGCGGGGCCGTGCAGGCTCCTCGGCGGTGACAACAGCTCCTACAGCGAGTAAATTATACGCGAGGGCAGTGGCTACCCTCAGCCATAAAGCAAATGAGAAAGCGCGGTGATTTCTGGTCAAGTATCTTATTTAAAAAAAAATAAATAAATAGAATTTCAAAGCAAAGCCTTCTCAGGGTTCCCCTCTCTCCCCACCTTCTTTCTTTCATGTGTTTTCTTGTTTCAAAGCTGAAGCCCAACATTAAAATTAGCAACTGTTATTAAAAGGAGAGGCTTTTTAGGCATACGGATGGATTAAAAGAAAACCATCCCAGCTTCCTGCAACGCAGAAGCTGAAACTCTGCCGTACTACTCCCACTGACAAAAAAAAAAAAAAAAAAAAAAGAAAAACCAAAACACCCAGGAGCCTCACATTCGGAACAGCCAAATGCCTAATTCACGGATCCATTTTAAGGGACAGAAACTCCTGGATTTGTTTCCCAACGCTTCCGAGCAGGCAGAGGCCGGAGCAGCCCCGGTCCAGCCTGCGGGACGTGACACGGGGAGGTCAAGTAGCAGTGTCCTGCATTCCT